TGACAATGATCGTTTGAATGGATCAACAAGGATAGCAACTAGATCTGGGATGGGGTCTTCCTTAACTGCTCTACAATGGAGTAGTCCTGTGCCTTCATCTTCTTTAAAAACTCCTCTGCTTCTTCCTCCGTTACTGGCTTTTTTATTGTTACAGGATTGGCCCTTCTCAATTCTGCGGGAACAAAACACCTTCCCGAACGAGTTAACCCCTAGGCCTCGCATACTTCTTCCACAACCTCCTTCCCCTTATGCATCACTGTCACTTGACTGTAGCTCCATGGCACAACTTTCTCATTTGTTATCGGCAACTGCATTACTGGCCTGATAACATTTGGTTCTACATGGACCCCATTCACCACCAACACTGGTGTGCTTGATACTCCCTACAGCACTACCTTGACTGACTTTGGCTTCTTCGCAGCAATAGACGAACCTTTCCCCACTACCACAAATGGTTTGTCATCTACCTTTCCCAACTGTACCACAGCCTTTCCATTGGTCGACTTTTTGTTTGGACTGGCACGAATCATCATTACCGTATGTGAGGGTGTTTTAGGTTTCCCTTCTTCGTGCACTAGTTCGATCATGTGGGCCTCATGGTGCATCAGTAACGGGTTTTCATTGATGTTANAAGTACCTGCTTCGACTGTTGCGACCTTCTCTCTCTTCTTTTTCCCGAGCGCACCTCCCATGCCGCTTTGGATAACCTGAGTTGTGGCCTTTATTGTTGAATAACTCATTATCTTGTTGGACCTGAGTCCTTCTTCAACCATACCGCCCATTTTTACTACTTCATGGAAAGATTTACCAACTGATATCACCAGGTGACCAAAGTAAGTTGGCTCCAACGTTTGTAAGAAGTAGTCCACCATTTCACCTTCCCTCATTGGTGGATCGACTCTTGCTGCTTGTTCACTCCAACGGAATTCGAATTCCCTGAAGCTCTCTCCAGGTTTTTTCTCAAGCTTTAACAGTGTGAGATGGTCGGGGACGATCTCAAGGTTATAGTGGAAATGACCTGCAAATGCTTGTGCTAGATCGTCCCAGGTAGACCACCTGCTAGGATTCTGCCTCATGTACCATTCTAATACAGACCCGCTTAAACTTTGACCGAAATAAGCTATCAAAAGCTCATCCTTTCCACCTGCCCCTCTCATCTTACTACAGAAACTTCGTAGATCAAACTTTGGCATTTTAAAACCTAACGACAATTGAACATCGGGGAAAGGACACAGATCTTTATAGGACACATTGACTTGGATGCCCAATCCATGCATATTCCTGAAGGATTGCTACAGACTTTTCACTTTACGGAGCACTTCATCTTGCTCTGGATTCTTAGTTGTCCTCTCAGTTTCTGTCGAGAACAGAAGGTGAGGGGTGTAAGTGTATGGCTCGGGTGCTTTGAAGGTGAGTTCAGGAGGATAGTATTGATTGTCATGAACCTGAAACACTGATTCATCGAATGATTTTTGCAATGTGGCTGGTGGAGGTGCCACAAAAATAGGAACAACTGGTGGAGGAGGGTTTTGTTTGGGTGGTGAAGCTTGGGGATTATAAGAAGTTTCCCCTTGATAGTATTTGGCAATGGGAAAGCTTGTTGATGGACCAGTGGAAGGGTATTCCGGAGTCCAAGCTGGTGAAAGGGTAGAAGTAGGGGGAAGTATTGGTGGTGTCTGTCCCTTAGCCCAGGCTAGGTGCATCCCAGCTATCTCTTGTCTCAACCTGTCTACTTCCTCCTTCATCATTTGCATCTCCGTCTTTTCCTCCTTAACACTTTTGT